CCTTTTTCCCCCCTCTTTATGCACAACCCAAGAGTCATTCGAACTCTTCACTGTCCATCTTCTTGAGCCGAAAGCCCTAGCTCATAGAATCCTCTAACATCTTCTGCCACTACTGTCTTTGTGCTTCTCCCTCTGTTTCAGTTCCTTCCGCAAGCTACAATCAGGCTCTCGAGGTTGCGTCCACCCTCGCATCTGCCACTGGTAAGTTCCCTTACCCTTCATCGCATTTTCTATTTTCGTTTCTCGAATTTGTTGTACCTGTTCTTCATTTTCGTGCCACTGTGCTCCGTGTCCTCTGCTTGGGACCTTTAAGGCTCTTCCTTTTTAGTCCCAATAATGCCACACCTTAGAAAAACTGGAACTGGTGGAGTGGAGGGGGCCTTTGTGCCCCTTGATTCACCAAGCCTCAAAAGCCAAACCTCTGAACTTGATATGAACAGTTCGGATCTGGACTGAACCGAGCTAAATGCTCATTTAGATCCATAGGTAGAGCTATAGCCGAGCAAAAACTGTTTGTGGCCTCTCGCTGAGGCCGCAACCGAGCCGAACACAATTAGGTCAGTAAATAGACTGAACTGGGCCGAAAGCCTAAAATCTTTACTTGGTGCCTTGACCAAGCTGAAAGCTTGATTAGATCCGTCAATAGATTTGAACCGAGCTAAAACCTGCCTTGACCGAGCCGAAACGAGAACCAAATCAGGAAGGCTAAATCAGCCATGTCGTTTAGCCGAGGTAGGAGTTAGACCGGCCAGATACCCAAAAACCCTTTCACTGAGTAATTTCCAATAGGAGCCGTGCAATTTATGCCGTGTTAACCCTTGGGATTGTTTCTTAACAATGCAGAACAAACTAGGACCGACCAGGAGAGTACTATCACTGGTGGAGCTCAAAGACCGAGCAAAAACACTAACATTTTAGACAGAGATACAAAACCCGATAAGACCGAGATAGATGGGAAAGTACCGATTTATGGTTAGCTCGCCCGGCGCGATGGCGGAGTTTCGTAGGGAGTACAACATTCCTGACGACGTCGTCTTAGAGCTCACCAAAAAGGGAGACACCCCTTGGGGAGATCTAGACCGGTGCCCGTTCACGGTAGTTTCAATAATTGAAGGTGGACTTCGCTTCCCAGTCCAACCCTTGATCTGCGAATTTTTGGGGCAGACAAGGCTTTGCCCGACCCAAGTCTCCAACAATACGTACAAGATAATAAATGGGGTCGCCGAGCTAAACTGGAGGCTCGGTCTCAATCTCAGTCTGGCTGAAATTTTCCACCAATATAGCCTCAGTAAGAATAAAGGTGGGTTTTGTTGGTACCTCAAAGTGAAGAAGGGCCGAGCAAAACTCATCGAGGGCAACCCGGACAAAGAGGCCAATGACGATGACTTCTTGTAGGTGTCCGGTCGATATGAAGACACCGAGGCACTCGTACCAGGATGGTATATTAGGAAAGATTTTGGTAGTGCTGGTGAGTAGTCCGGCTGACCGCACTATTTTCTTTCTGTCCTCTTTCTTTTTTTTATTTTATTTTATTTTATTTTATCGGTCTAACACTCGTCTTCTTTTGCAGATAAGCACTTAGCAGTAGATTACTACCGCGCTAATCAAGAGGCCATCGGAACCTTGTTGCGCCATCCAGCCGAGGAACGGGAGTCATCGAAACTCCTCGGCTTCGAACAGACCTACCATTACATTACACCGCGCAAGAGCCGGGTTACCGACTTTTTACGTGCGCCATCCCCAGAACCAGATCCAAACCTACCACCGATCAGACTTGTTCCTCTCACTGCCAAGCAAGAAATGGCGAAGATCCGGGCAATCAAGTCCATGATCATCGGAGAGGAAGGCGGTTCCAACCACTAGAGGCAACCGGGGGAACATCCTCCACCCCAGCCGGGCAAACAGAAGGAGCTGTGCTGGCATTGGCCAGCGAGCAGGCGGCTGGCCAGTCGAAGAAGAGGCAGAGGAAGGACCGATCAGGCCAACAATTGGTTGATGAAGACTCGGCCGAACACGTCTCAACTGAGCTGGGTGATCAGATCGATCAACGACTACCAAGGCCATCCCAGAGCCCAGCTACCCCTCCCGGTCTGGGTACCCGAGTACAAATACCAAGGCCGGGCTGTCACTGCCGCCGACTCGGTCTACGCCGACAAGGACCACTCGCTTGGTTTTAACATGACCAAGGGGTTGATCTTGCCTGCCGACATGAAAAAACATGACGAGCTTTCCGACCTAAAGGTCCTTCGCTCGGCGGCAAAATCCATAGTTTTGGTAAGTCATCAGTCTCTTTTTTTTTTTCAAGTTATTGTTCGGTTATTGCTCGGTTGCCGGAATACTGACAATCTTGCATTTGCTTGCAGGCCGGGCAGAAGAACTATCTCGCCCACGAGCGCATGATCGCCGTGCGGCAGAGTCTGCGGGACGCCATTGCGGAGAACAAGGCCCAAAAGGCCGAGATAGCCAAACTCAAGGCCGCGCAAGAGGCAGTTGCGGCAGAGCGAGATATCCTGAGTCAAAAAGTTGACCGAGCTGACGCGGACAAACAACGGGCCGTAAAGTCGGCAAAGGCCAGGTACCTCGCCGAGCTGAGGAAACTGCGCGACGCGCACAAAGCAGAGAAAGACAAGGCTGTGGATGACGCCGAGGACAGGGGCTACGCTCAAGGCGAAAAAACATATGAACGGCAAGTGCAGGCGACCAAGGACATCTTTTTCCAGTGCGGCTGAAAAGCTACCGTGGAGAAAGTCGGCCTTGGTCAGGATGCTGACATGTTCATAAATCTGCCTGCTGCCTTCATACCGCACTATATGTAGGCGTATGCCAATGCCACTCAGAACCGGCTCATTGCAGAGGCAAGAAAAGAGGCCGAGGAAGAAGCCGCCGCTGCGCAACAAGCCGAGCAGAATCCTCCCAAAGCATCTCAAAATGCAGAAGATGAAGAGGCTGATCGGGATGTTGTCGTGGTGGAAAGTACTGACGATGAAGCCGAGGAAAACTTGTCCAAGCACGATGTGGAGGAGGCCGAGCAGACTGTGCAAGTCGCCGAACAAGCGGTCGAATTAGAGTTGGATTAAACCGTGTCTCTTTTCTATTTTCTTTACTTTGTTTTGGAATGTAACCGGGCTATGCCCGCCCTTATGTACTGTAACTTTCTCAATGAATGAAATTTTTGAACTTTTTGCCCGTTTAGCTTCTATTGCTTTTTGGCTTTGACGTGCAAAATTTCTTTAAACGCGTTCAAACTTCATCTAGTAGCTCGGCTTCTTTGAAATTTCAAATGCACCTTTGAAAATGCCGAACAAAATATGCTCGGCCCTAAATTGAGGGCTCATGTACAGGGCTGAACAAAATTAGCTCGGCCTTGATGGGTTTTCAAACTTTATAAAATTCCAGTAATTCAACGTGACCGAGCAAAAACCAGCTCACCCTTTCAGTTGGGTAGATCGCCAACATTTCACTTCTGCCGAGCAATGTCAGCTCGGCTTCTCATTAGTTGGACAAAACACCAACATGCCAAATTGGGCCGAGCGAAGTCAGCCCGGCCGCTACATTGGGCAAAACACCAATGTTTCATTTAAGTTGGTCATGTCGCCAACATTCCAGTTGGCCGAGCAAATCCCAGCTCGGCCTATATGTGAATTGGTTTATTCGCCAATCATTTCTTTGGACAATGCAAACTGTTTGTGCGGTCTGTTTCCATTCCAGCGAGAGGAGATTAGTCCGGTCCCATTCAGGTCGGTCTCCTTGCCTTTGGCACCCATAATTGTCTGGTATCCTTGCGATGTCATTGTACGGAGACGCAATACCGGACAACAAGAGGGCTAATTTTCATTACATAATATCGTGCTATCTCTTACATCAAAATGCCAAGAGGCTCAAAGTTACATAAATCTAAACAAAAGTGATTACATCTTAAAAATAAAAGACCTTAAGATTGGTTGCGTTCCAAGGTCGAGGGACAGCCTTGCCATCCGAATCTTCCAAATGGTATGCCCTTTTGCCGGCGAGACCAACACCTTGTATGGTCCTTCCCAATTCGCACCGAGCTTTCCTTCGCCCGGGACCACCGTGTTGCCAAGTACCTTTCTTAATACCCAGTCCCCAAACTTGAATAGCCTGGGGTGCACAGCCTTGTTGTACTTTTTTGAGAGTTCTTGTTGATAAGCCGCTATGTAGATCAATGCTCGCTCCCTCCTTTCTTCAGCAAGGTCCAGTTCCAATGCCACCGCTTCATTATTCAGATCTGGCTGGAAATTTTCAGAGCGGATGGTTGGCATGTCAATTTCCAACGGGATGACGGCCTCCATGCCATAGGTCAAAGCAAATGGTGTTTCCCCGATCGACTGCCTTGGCGTAGTGCGGTATGCCCAGAGCACATTAGAGAGTTCTTCAGCCCACTTGCCCTTGGCCTTCTCAAGCCGCTTCTTCAGCCCGTCAAGGATGGTCTTGTTTGAGGCTTCTGCTTGACCATTTGACTGAGGATAGGCCAGCGTTGAATTGTAAAACTCGATCTTCAACTCTTCGCAAAATCCGCGAAAAAGTTTTCCATCGAATTGAGTGCCGTTATCCGAGATGAGGGCCTTGGGTATACCGAAACAGGTGATGACATTTCGCCATACGAACTTCTTTACGTCCTTTTCCTTTATGGTCGCCAATGGTTCGGCCTCAACCCACTTCGTGAAGTAGTCAGTGACAGCGATGAAGAACTTGCGATTGCCCGGGGCCGCTGGGAGTGGCCCCACTATGTCCAATCCCCAGAGTGCGAATGACCAAGGACTGGTAAGGGGGAGCAGTTCTCTTGCTGGCTGATGGATCTGATGAGCGAACTTCTGACATTTTTCACACCGGCGAACGTACTTCTGCGCGTCCGCCTGCATGCATGGCCACCAGTAGCCCTGAGAAATCGCTCGGTAGGCCAAAGATCTGCCCCCAGTATGGCTGCCGCAGATGCCTTCATGGATCTCATAGAGGAAGGCCTCCACTTTAGAGGGGTGAACACACTTCAAATACGGTCCGGCGAAAGACTTCTTATACAAGGCTCCGGAAGGGGAGAGCCAAAACTGCTCTGACTTCGCTCGGACCTTGTTAGCCGTTTTCTTTTCTTCCGGCAGAACTCTATCTCTCAGGAAGGCGATGATGGGATCCATCCAAGAAGGACCCAAGTCGGTGCAGAGTACCTCGGCTGATTTTGGTTCCTCAATGCTTGGCCGGGGTAAAAATTCTATCATCAAGGGGTTAGGAAAAGCTGTCTGAGCAGAAGCAAGTCCGGCCAATTCATCAGTCGCGCTATTTTCCTCGTGGTCGATTTGTTCCATCCTTGTTGCAGTGAACTTATTGATCTCTGCGCGTACCAGCGCCTGATACTTGGCTATTCTTTCGCCCTTTGCCTCATACTCCCCTGAGACCTGATTGACCACCAACTTGGAATCGTTAAATACCATCAGGGCCGACGCCTTCATTCTCAATGCGCTTCTTGGCCTGGCAAGGAGGGCTTCATACTCCGCTTCGTTGTTGGATGCTGGGAAACCGAGCGTAATTGCCTGCTCAATAATCAGCCCATCTGGTGAAGTCAGTACGATGCCCAGCCCGGCCTCATGTCTGTTGGATGCTCCATCAACGAAGAGCTTCCACATCTCGCCAATAAACAGCTTCCAGCAATCAGAGGGGTTCTAGGAGCTTCTCAATTCCAAGTCTCTGATCGGTTCATTCTGGTCTCTTTCCTTGTCTTGGTTGGGTTCATCATCGCCGGACTTTATTAGTTCGGTCGTGCTTTTCCCTTTTCTTACTTGCGAGCCAACACTTGTTTTTGTTGCCAGAACCATGGGTTGTGCTAAATCTGCACCAACCAAATCAATCGGGCAGACTGGATACATCCCAGGGGCAAATTCTGCCACAAAGTCAGCGAGTGCTTGAGCCTTGATTGCGGTGCACGGTCGGAACTTGATGTCATATTGTCCTATTTCCACGGCACACTTCAAAATTCTCCCAGTGAAGTCTGCCTTTTCAAAAAGCACCTTGAACGGGAACTCAGTTAACACAACTATTGCATGAGCATGAAAATAGTGTGCTAGCTTTCTTGACGCCATCATTAAGGCCAGCGCCAATTTTTTCAAGGGAAGATATCTCGTTTCGGCTGGGAGCAGAGTCTTGCTTACCTAGAAGATCGGTAGGTGCTGGGTGCCTTCAGCATGGACCAATACCGCGCTAACCGCGTGTTGAGAGACAACCAAGTAGAGGTACAACTCTTCGCCCAGCTGAGGCGTGACCAAAATAGGGGCTAAGGAGAGATATGTTTTCCGGTCTGCTAGTGTGCGGTCGCACTAATCATCTCAGATAAACTTGGACTTCAAAGTTTTAAAGAAGGGCTTACAACGATCCGAAGACCGACTGATAAATCTGTTCAACGCGGCTGCCATCCTGGCAAGATGTTGCACGTCCTTCGTGGAGTTAGGACGCTTCAGCTCTTGTATTGCCTTGATTTGTGATGGGTCGGCTTTGATTCCCCGGTTTGTAACCAGAAAACCCAAGAACTTCCCAGTGCCAACTTCGAAGGTGCATTTGGAGGCGTTCAGACGAAGCTTGTGGTGCTTTAGGATGGCAAACATTTCTGCTAGGTCGGCGAGGTGTTGAGACTTCTCCCTACTCTTTACCACCATGTCGTCGATATAGGCCTCCATTGTTCGGCCCAAAAGAGGAGCGAACATTTTTGTTACCATCCTCTGAAAAGTCGCCCCGGCGTTCTTCAGTCCGAACGGCATGACTTTGTAACAATATAAGCCCCTAGGAGTGGTGAACGATGTGATCTCTCGGTCCAATCTATACATAGCTATTTGGTGGTAGCCGCAATATGCGTCCAGGAAGCTAAACCTCTGATGGCCAGCGGTTAAGTCCACCAGCTGGTCAATTCGAGGGAGGGGAAAGCTATCTTTTGGGCAAGCACGGTTGACAGTCTTGTAGTCAACGCAGACCCGCCACTTGCCGTTCTTCTTTGGAACCACCACTGTGTTAGATATCCATCGAGGGTATTGCACTTCTTCTATGGTCCCAGCTTCCAACAAGTTCTTCACTTCTTCCGCTACCACCTCAGCATGGTGCAAGGCTGAGCGGCATGTCCTTTGGATGACAGGCCGTGCATCAGGGAAGACATTCAACTGATGGCAAATGAAGCTTGGGTCAACGTCAGGCATATCGTAAGGCATCCACGCAAAGGCCTCCAAATTAGAAGTCAAGAATTTGACGTAATCTAACCGCTAGGCGCTCGACAAAGATGCTCCCAAGAGCAAGAACTTAGTCGGGTCGTCCTCGTCGATGCGCACTTCAACCAAATCCTCTACTGATTTTTCCTCGGCCTTCCTTCCTACGTCTTCAAGGACCTCCTTCCCCTCGGACCCCTCAATCATCTGGACGAACCCTTTGGCTGCTCGGCTGCCATTTACCGCAACGAAGCATTGTTTTGCCATCACCTGGTCTCCCCAAACTTATTCGATTTGCCCAGTGGGCGCCGAAAAGCACATAACTTGATGGAAGGTAGACGTAACTGCTTGCATGGCGTGCAACCACCCCCTGCCCAAAATTAGGTTGTATCTGGGTGAAACTTTCAGCACCCAGAATTCCACCTGCTTTACTACAGAACCCGCTCTGACTGGCAAAATGATCTTTCCGATCGGCCACTCTGGTTGAGAGTTGAAACCAACCAAGGGGGACGTCGCAGGAGCCAAGTCTTTGTCCTCCAGTTTCATTTGCTTGAAAGCATCATAATACATAATTTCGACCGAACTCTCCTGGTCGATCAAAATTCTTTTAATGTCAAAGCCTTTGACGCAAAGAGTTACCACTAAGGCATCATTGTGGGGCATCTGGATCCTTTCTAAATCCTTGCTTGTAAAGGTAAGGACATCTTTTGGTTCAGTTCTCCCCCTCTTCACAGTGGGCTGAACAGAGAGCACTTCCCTCATATGCTCGGCTTTCTTGATCATCCCTCTCAGCTCGCAGACCCTGGCTGGTTCAATGATACCATGGATAACGTTGATTACACCTTGCGGGGCCGCATCCAGGGCGGCTAGGCCGTTTGGCTCGGCTTGCCCTGATGGTGCGGCCTTCATTCCCCCATCTATGTATTGGTCAAGATGTCCAGCCGCCACCAACTCCTCCAAGTGTTGTTTGAGCGGCAAGCAGTCCTCCGTTCGGTGGCCCCGTTCTTTATGGAAGGTCCAACGATATTTCGAATTGAAGCCCCTCTACGCACTCCCCAACTTGGCCGGCCAACGGACAAAGGGTTCACCTCGAATCTCGCTCAAAACGTGGTAGATGGGGATTTTAAAGACCGTGGTGATTCCAGTCCGTGCCTTCAATTTTCTTTTGGCATCCTCCGCTGCATCACGGGGAGTGTCAGCCCTGTCGTTTCGGCGGCCTTTGTTTCTGTCATCACGGTTTGAACCATGGCGCTGATCTTTTGACCAGTTGTTTGGGCGGTTATCCTCCTGCCCAACCGAGTGAACTTTCCCCGCCACCCTTCTGTCCGCCGCGACCTGATTAGCCTTCTCGATCGCGGAGGCGGCATCATCCTCCACACAAATGTGCTCATTGATCCGCTACATCAACGACTCCATGGTTGTGGATTGATGCATCGTGAGTGAATCTCGCAGCCTATGTCCGACTGGGAGACCCCGTTTGTATTGAGTGATCGCCAGATTGGTGGGGCAGTCGAGGATCTCATTGTAAGTTTCCCAGTATTTCGCATTGTATGCCTTCAACGAACACCCTGACTCCATCTTGACACCCAGGAGATGGTTGACCTCCTTCGGCGTTCGTATGTTGGTTTTGAATCTGGTGATGAAGGCTTCCGATAGTTGCTGCCACCCCTCAATACTCCCCTCCGGGAGCCTTTCGAACCACTTCAAACCCAGCTCTCCCAAGCTTGCTGGGAATATGAGGCACATCAAGGCGTCGTTGCGCCGGTGGCCAGCCATTACTTGCCGGTAATGGCTCACATGCATGTACGGATCCGTCTTGCCGTCGTACAAAGTGAACTTTGGCCGGTGGAATCCGGCGGGGAGTGGTGTACTCTCAATCTCCGAAGACAGCAGCGTGGCTGTAAGTCGCGCCAGCTCTTTGTCCACCAGCGCAGGGGCTATCGCTTTGGGGGCTGGCATCGCCACTTCCTCACTACAACGAACTGGAGCGCTCAACCTCTACAATGCCGGCACTCTCTGAGCCTCCCAACGGTGCGCCCTCTCCTCCAACACATCCCTCAAGTTCCTGGAACGTGTGGAGAAAAATGATTGCGACGTCGGCGTCGGGCGTGAAGGGCGGTAAGTGCTATCGCGAGAGAGGGACCTGCCCTCTCTTTGGTTGGAATCTCCAACCTCATAGTTCCTGGTGATGGAGAGAGAGTGAGTCCTCCCTTGGCGGTGACTGCTACAACGAGGGGACGGGGTGCACTCACTGAGGTTGCCCTCTCCAGCAACACCCTTCCCTTTAATCTGGCGTTTCAGCAGCTCCATCTCCGCCGCCATCTTGCGAATAAAGGCGTCTTGATCCTTGAGTTTGTGCTCCAGGCGCTACGCATGGGACTCCCCCTGGCGTCGGCGGCCCTCTGGACTCTGCGAGCGAGCAGTACTCCTTCCGCGTTTGTCGCGCGCACCTCGCGAAGGAGTCTCTAGACCCGCCATGGCTGGAATATTCGGAGGGCCTTCTCTCAAGCGGACGTACTCAGGTGTGACGCCATCGACGACGGACAGTGGGGCTTCGCCGTTGTTGGCCATGGAAATGGTCGTAGAAGCTCAAAGAACTAGGGTTGAGTATCAAAGAGTTCCCACAGACGGCGCCAATTGTACGGGGGCGAAATATCCTCTGCTTTCCGTACTCCTTGGACGTCAAGCTTCTTGTGACGGCGTCTATCTCTGCAACACAGAAATGGTGAGCTGCCCGGCGGTGGTGTACCGGATAGACCCTCCGACGATCAAGTCAGGCCAATAGAGGAAGAAGAAGGCTATCAGAGAGAGAGTGTGTTAGTGATAGAGTGAATTTTTCATACCTCTAGCGTTCCTCGTTCCTTCTATTTCTAGGCTGGCCATGCAGCCTCAAGATTGTGCGCGCACTACCTCTGCTGTCCTTCCCTAGACAGGTGACAGTGCTCGCCTCTCACCACCTGACGCATGTAAAGGCCTAGTCCTCCCACCAGTACACGCAGAACTGTCCAACAGTATTGATGCGTGCGTGGAGCAAATGTCCTCTCCCTCACGCCATTGGCCCAGGTGGCACACCTAACCGGAGTACCACGACCGGCCTATCCCTTGTGAAGAACTGTCACCACATGCACACAACCGAGCTATGCGTCACCGGCCTGCCCCTTTGGCAAAGGGGCCAAGGGGTGATGCTCATGACCGGGCTGATATTGACCGGTTTATTGTGGCTTACCAGTTCTGAGGCACGCCGACCTCCATCCGTTCTACCTTCATCCGAGGTTATCCGGAATCTATCCATCTCGGCTAACCGTTCAAAGGCATGTCGGCTTTCGCCTCGTCCTCGGTTTAGCCCGAGCTCGTAGCCTGGTCTCGCCACTCGACTGCGTGCCCTACCAAATGTCTACACAGCTCGGCCGTGCGCAATTCCCGCATGGTCTGCCGATCTCCTCGACCGAGAAAAACAGATATACCGGTCGCTTCAGTAGAGGAAATAGCGCGGCACCGTGAAGTTTGTCACGACCGGCACTATCGTAGCTCGGCCGTACTAACGGTGCAAATCTCCCATCTCACAAAGAGTTTCAGATTCATTATTGGAGACTATCAAGTACAACCTATGTCCCAATCCAAAGATGAAACATCAAACACTATTAATAATTCTCGAATGTAGTACAATCTTACCACAGAGGTCTTAGAATGATATGTCGATGACATTTTTATAATTATGAGTCATTTTGATGAGCTTTTTATTTTGAAGTAAAATGTTTCAAACCAATCACAAAAATTCTGTATAGATATGTACTTCTTTGATATAGCATTATCCTACCCTAATAAGGTTCAATCTTACTAAACCCAAAAGTAATTTTTATTTTATTTTCTACACTTGAAAACAAGGCATTTGGGGACAATGCGAAGTATTAATTAACCTATTATCTAATAAAAGTTGACAAAAAAAATTAATTAAATTGTATTATTTAATAATTATTTGCACTTGTTTTGCACTCATTAGTCGTTATTGTACTCATCTTTGCAGTCTCCTATTCTACTCCCACAATTTTTTTTAATAGTTGCAAGGGAAAAAAACCCACACCTTCTTGGTTTATTCAAAGTATTCAAAACATATTACAATATCAATGGATTTTTTGGTTCAATTGTGAATTTTTTGGTTGAATTAAAGTTTGGTTTCTCTAGAATTTGCATCCAAAAGTCATCTTCTTGGTTCAATAATGAGGTTATTTGCATCCAAAAGTCATCTTCTTGGTTCAATAATGAGGTTATTATGCTCTACATATATAATAGTATATATACATTTGACAAAATCAATATTGCTTTAATTTTTATTTATTTATTTATGATTTGAGAATTATTATTTAAATTTTTGCACAACCCATTAACAAATATTTCTAGAGCTGTCACCAAAAGAATTAAACAAACATGATCTAACGGAAATCTAAGGAAAAATCAGTCAAATTTTTGAATTGATTGATTGGTATTGAAAATATTTCTCAGGGGTCTTGATTCCAAAAGGTTGGAAAGTTTTGCCTTTGTTTCGGATCATTCATCACAATCCAAATTTCTTCATAGATCCAGAAAAATTTAATCCTTCAAGATTTGAGGTATGACACTGTTTCACAACCTAATTATTATTAGTTACGTAATTAATTGACTATACTTACAATTATTAGTTACGTAATTAATTGACTATACTTACAATTTGAGTATCAGGAAGTCTATAGAACCAATAAATAATTCAAAAATTTGTCAAAAATTTTAGATCTATAGTTCTTATTGTGGAATAGTAAATCTTAATCATAGATATTAAATTATTGAGTTTTTTTTAGCTACGTTTGGTTTAGTTTTAAAATCATAATTTGAGTTTGGGATGTGATTTAAGCGTGAAATTGTGAGTTGAATTTTGAAAAAAGAAAATTTATTTGGTTATGAATTTTGGAAAGAGTTTTGAATTGTATTTTGAGTTTTAAGTTTTTGAATTTCGAGTTGTATTTACAAATTTTTTGGATTTATTTTTTAAATATTTGAAAATGTTTAATACAATTTTATTTTTTATTTATTTTATTTTTTAAATATTTTAAACTTAAAACACAACTCGACACTCAAATCATAACTAAATGCATAATTCAAAACTCAATTTAAAAACTCTTTTCAAAATTCATAACCAATCTCTTATTGTAACTCTTTTCAAAATTCTATTAAAAATATTCAAAAAAATATTTTTTATTTTGTTCTTTAAAATTATTTCTTATTTTATATTTTTTTGAATTTTGCAAAGAGTTTTGAGTTTTTGAATTTTGAGGTTTATTTTTAAAATTTTTGGATTTTTTTTAATATTAAAAAATGTTTAATAAAATTTTAGTTTTTATTTTAAATATTTTTTATTATGTTATTATTTTTTAAATATTTTATTTTTAAAAATATTATTGGGAGATTGATCAATAAGTCTCATATTTTGGACTTGTAATCCATATAATCTCATATTTTTTCTTGTAATCCATTTAGTCATTTTGGGTGTGTAATAACTTATTTGTCAAGAACACCGGAGTGTTACATTTAGAAAAGTACACTAAAAATTTTTTAGTGTCACATCATACCCGTCACATTAAAGTGTCACATATGGAAAAAGTATAACAAAGAGTTTTTATTTTTTAAAAATGTCACATCATACTCGCCACGTTAGAGTGTCACATGTCACGTTTGGAAAAATTACACTAAGGAGTTTTTAATTTTTTTTTAGAATGTCACATTATGCCCACCTATAGACACCCCATTTTTTATCGTCCTCAAGACTTGGACGTCATCGTTTGAGCACTCGATAATTATCCATGTTCGTGTTCATCTAGAGTTCTCAGAGGTTTCGGCCGCGCGCCTTGCCTTGAGACCTCTCGACTTGTTTGTTTTGTGCTTGGTTGTAGACCAAACACTTGTGCGATTGCTTCTAAGGGCAGGGAATGGCTTGTTGGCCATCCGCACACCTCACCGGCCATGGCCTGAGACCACCGGCCCTATTTTCTTGCTACCGGCCAAAGGTGTTGGCCAGTCGGCATTATTTTTGGTCGGCTGGCCATTTTTTTTATCAATCGGCCACTTTTTCTGGCCGAGACCTTTTTTTAGGGAGACTTGACCCTTCTGAACCTTTGGTTTAGCTTCTTGTGAGAAGTTTGACCCTTTTGAACCTTTGATTTAGCTTCTTGGGAAGGCTTGACCCTTTTGAACCTTTACCTAGCTTCTCCAAGAAGCTTGAACCTTTCATAGCTTCTTGAGGAAGCTTGACCCCTTTGTTATAGCTTCCTCAAGAAGCTTGACCCTTTTTGCTTTAGTTTCTTTAAGAAGCTTGGCCCCTTTGCTTCAAGCTTCTTTGAGAAGCTTTGGACCTCTTCTTCTATAAGAGGAAGCCTCTCCCTCATTAGCAAAGGTTCAGATTTTTGGCCAAGGCATATATACACTCTCCCTTTATATCACTCACATTTGGCCTTGAAAGTGTAAGGTTCTTGGCCCCATTGCATTACACCTCCTAACCTAACCTCTCCATCATCCATCTAAGCACCTTGGAGCTAGTTTTCAGAGGTTGAAGGCTTGTTGTTTTGGTCTAGAAGCTGCTGGTCCCTTTGGCTACAAGGATAACTCCTTTTTTCTTTTTTATTTCCTGTTTTTGCACGAGATTTTAGCCTGTCTTGCATGCTGTTTTGAGCTTAACTATAAACTAAGAAAAGTTCTGATTTTGCATACTTTTGATCTTTGTTTAAGGTCACTTTTGTGTTTGGGGTTGTTTACCCCCTCTCAGGCCTTGTTTGGCCTCTTTTTTGTGCCTTTTTTGTGAGCTTCGGGACCACATTGTATTGTCCTTCTCACTACTGAAATCCAGAGGAATTTAAGTGGTGGGGATGGTGTTTTGAGGTCTTAAGAAGGAGAGGGTCATCCCCTCTCATTGTCGTCTTGTTTACTTGCATTTTTGGCCTTACAAAGGAGCCCATATTTGAATGCATCCTAAGCTTGGTTTAGGCCCTTTTTGGTGACTCTTAGGATCTGCCTAGCCTCTGTCCATGGTTGGTTTGGTCCCATTTTGTTTGCTTCTTGCATGTGTAGAGTAACCTCTTTCTTGGCTTATTAAAGGAGCACCCCATTCTAGCATGTGTTGACTATGTTTCAGTGGATTTTTAGTCATATTTTGGCATGCCATGAATCTGTTTTTGTCTGGTTTGGTGGTCCCTCATTTGCTTCACATGCTTGTAGTGTAAACCATGCTTACTAGCTCACATTGCATGTTGTTTTGGCCCTCCATTCTAGCATATTTTGGCCATGTTTCAAACATGTTTTGTTCATATTTTGGGCTGTCTTAGCTCTGTTTTTAGGCCTCTTGGTCGATTGGTGCTTGCCATGCATGGTTGTAGTGTAATAGCCTTGCTTACCTTTGAGTTTTGAAGCCCCTTGCGTGCGTTGCTTGAGGTGTTTGCATGTTTTGGTATCATAGGGAATGCTATTTCAGAGCTTATATGTGTGCCATATTCTCATGTTTAGCATGCCTTCGATGCGTTTGAGAGTTGCGTCATTATGCCTTGTTTATGAGCCTTTGCATGAGCTTCATTTTGGTGCATGTCAAGCCCTCATTTTAGCTCACTTTGCCACTGTTTAGGGATTGCATGAGGTCTGTTAGGAGTTGGTTTCATCATTTGTGCATTGCTTTGCATACCTCTAGTGTAATGTGATTCACTAGTTTCGGTATTTGAGCCTTCCTACATGCATTGCACGAGTCGTTGCATCATTTCGGAGTCATTTTGTATGCTGTTTCAGAGCTGGAGTGTATACCATTGTACCTCATGTTTCATCCTTGCCATGCTCTTGGAGAGTTACATTTTGTGCCTTAGTCACGGGGCCATTGCATTGTGCATGTTTGCATGAGTTTTGGTGCCTTGATTCCATCATTTTTGGCCACTGATTTTGGCATGCTTGAGAGCTACCCATGTTAGTGTAAGTCCATCTTACCATATTGTTGCATATTTGTTTCATTTTGCATGTTGTTGCATGCTATACATGTCCACATGTTTAGGTTGTATGTCTATTGCATATTGCATGTTAACATGCTCATGTTGCATTAGATTTGTTGCACACTTAAGTTATTTGCATGCTTGCATGCTTGCTTGCTTGCCTAGGTTGCATTGCATTGTGTGTGCATCTCTTGCCTCTTGATCAATCATGATAGAGGTTGGGGCCCTTTATGTATTTTGTGCATTTCATTCCATATTGAGTTGCACACTTGATTCTTTGGCCATCATGTATGGAAATGCGTGATTAGTGGCCCGAGGGTCGAGGACCATCCTCCATTGAGTTCATAACATGATAAGAAGGGTGGTCGTGCACACATTACTTTGAAAATGCATTGCCATACTCTGTTTGCCCTCTGCTGCTGCAAAACAGGATTCTACAGGAAGAGTTGGCCGACCGACCACATTTAGTGTCGGCCGGCTATTCATTTCTGGCGGAGAGCTAAACAACTGGTCGATGACCACCTTTCCATGGCCGGTGACTATTCCTCTTGGCCGGTGGCCTTCCACAGTGCTTAGAAGGTGGTCCAGAAGCAACGTTAGGACTTGTGCAGTCTTCAGAGGTGCAGAGCAGTGTAAACAGAGGCAACATGTGGCATGGCGACGGATTTCTGAGCAAGGCGATTTGAGCATGCAAGCATTTGATCCTATTTCTGAGGCAGCTTTACTGCTTTAGTAGTTTAATTAATTTGTTAATTAATTACGATTTTGTAATATTTAATTAGCTTGTTAGTTAGTTGATTTGTATTATTCTTTCGGACCCTCCGAGAGAGGGCAATGTTGTAATAAGTGTGCGTGTGTGTGATGCATGTCTTCCAACCCCATGTCTTTCTCCCTTTTACTTACCTGCTTTGATGGTTAGTTTAGGACATGCTTTAATTAGCATACTTATGCTCGCATGTTTGCATTCATTCATATGTCTTGCATACACCGGGCTCGGCTCATCATGCTAACTGCATTGTATTTCAATTTCAATTTGAATACAGGTATCAAGTTGCATTTCACATGACAACTTAGAATAGCCGAGCCTATTTCTAGTTGCATTTTGCATGTGTTGCATTAGCCATCCTAACATGAACTAGGATCATGCATGATTACTAACTAGTTTCTTGTTTTGGCTCGGAGTACACTGTAAGTGTTTATGCTTTAGCATCTCGCATGAGTGTGAATGTTAACATGACATCATGCTTTCCATGAGGCTAATTGCTTAGGTGATATAACTACCTGAATGCCTGTGGGTGAAGGTTGGATTGCTTGAATTGGGATAATTCATTGAAATCCGTGTTTTAGCCTACCTACGAGTAATAAACTTCAAATCATTTTCCAAACAAACGGATATGCGATACTTTGTTCCAAATTAGGCGATCTAGTCTATACTTGTTTTGCTGTGCGCATCACATAGTAATTCTAGTTAATTAACTGGAATAAGAACATGTGTGTTTTCAAAAACAAGATATCATGTTTAGTAGTGGCTGATCTTTGATCGGGCGAGTGTGGGTGCTCATAGCTGACCTTCCCCAATCGTACCCAAGTTCCCGAGCCGAGGCAACTTTGGTGATGACGGGCATGTAGCCTTAGGCAACGAGTCAGAGTTTCCTAAATTTTTCAAAAATAAAACATTTAGGTGGCGACTCTGTATCTGGCAAAGCAGTCCATGTTTGGCACTTCTTTCTAAAAATTTGTTTTTTAAAACGATTTGCCGGATTTGGACTCTTTGGTGATTTATCAATCTCACATCGCACATTGTGAAATCAGATTAAGAACCGCGACAATTTGAGTCCGAACTGTAGTGAGCCCAAATGAATAAAACGGGATTCCCTCCCGGGACGTTTGGGGCACGTTTACACCACCACGTTTTCACGTTTGAGAAAAGTACACTAAGGAGTTTTTGTTTTTTTGAAGTGTCGCATTATACCCGTTACGTTGTCACATTTGAAAAAAGTATACTACGGAGTTTTTATTTTTGTTGCAGTAAAAATTTTGGAGTGTCATATATATCATACCCGTTATGTTGTCACATTTAGGAAATTACACTGAGGAGTTTTTAATTTTTTTAAAGTGTCGCATTAATACCTGTCACATTGAAGTATTGCATCATACCTATCACATTAATAAAAGGGTATAGTTGTCCATCAAAACACTATCAAAATGAAAAATAAAACCATACGGAAAGAAACTCTCCACTGATAGGACTTAACAGATCAATAGGGCGGTGTTTGGGAAGGAAGCTTTTTGGCTTTTTTTTTTTTTTTTTTTTTTTTCCAAAAAAAAAAATTGGTTAAAAAACAAAAAAAAAAAAAAAAAATAAATCCAAACAAAATATCACATCAAACCCCATAATCATTTCACTTTTTCTCTGACAAACATCACATCTAACAACAAAAAAATCCAACTGTTTTCCCAAACACAAAAAAATTTTCTCCAATAATATCCTACAACTAAAAAAACTTACAAAAAAACCCACTTCCCAAACACCCACTAGAAAAAATTGGGACTAATTGGAGTATTTGTTTGTGAGATAAGATTTATTAGTAAATATCTCATATTTTAAACTCAAAGCACAACTCCATACTCAAATCATAATCAAACACATAACTCAAAATTCAATTCAAAAACTTTTTTCAAAATTCGTAACCAATCTCTAATCGAAATTCTTTTCAAAATTCTATTAAAAAAATGTTTTTTATTTTGTTCTTTAAAATTATTTCTTATTTTATATTTTTTTGAAAAAATATTTTTTCAAAAATATTTTGTTTATTTTTATTTTTGAAGAAAAACATTTATTTATTTACTTTTATTTTTTCAAAAACTAATTTTTATTATTTTTTTAAGTATTGACAAAATAATTCGTTATGATTTAGATATATATGGTGATCCAATTTTTTTAAAAATTAATTATTTAAAAAAAGTAAAAAAATTAAAATATTCATAAAATAAAATATTTAAAATAAAAATTATATATTTAGAATAAAATAATAATTTTTTATATTTTTTAAAAAATAAAAAAATACAGGCACAAATGTATGAAATACAGTGCACATTAAAATAAATAAATAAATATTTACCCTAAAAAAATAAATCCATTTTTTTTTTTAAAATACAACTCAAAACTCAACCAAACAAATTCTTTTTTCAAAACTCAACGCAAAACTCATAACTCAATATACAACTCCACACTCAAAATCATCATTCTAAAAATAATTTTAAAAAGAAAAATAAAAAATATATATATTTTTTTAAATTTTTTTTTAAATAGTGTTTTGAAAAGAGTTTGGTTATGAGTTTTGAATTGTATGTTTGGTTATAAATTTTGAAAATAGTTTTTTAATTAAATTTTAAGTTGTATATTTGGTTAGGAATTTTAATTTTTTTTTTTATTGGAATCACGATTCTAAAATAGAACCAAAAGCAGGTTTTAATTTTAATTTTATTATTTATTTTCCTGTTGATGCATATTTTGAAGGTTGCACAGAAACCCAATACATTTGTGCCATTTGGCAATGGAGTACATTCATGTCCAGGGAATGAAGTTGCCAAGCTAGAAATTCTTGTTTTCATCCATCATCTTGTCAACAAATTCAGGTATGTGGGGGCGGGGTTGAATAAATTTGAAAATAATAATAATAATAATAAACTTAAGATAGCTTAAGAAGGTATATGGAGGGTTATGCTAGGGATCCCAAACAAATTACCAAATTTTCTACCAAATCTCTCACATGGGTGTGGGACCCACACACATTTGATTTGTGTGGATCTCACACCCATGTGAGAGGTTTGGTAGAAAATTTGGTAATTTATTTGGGATCCATAGCATTTTCCTTTCATGTTTTTTAACATTCGATACTACAGAAAATGAAATTGAACGAAAAGCATTTTTCACAATTAACAAGAAAATATACTATTTGAAAAGAAAATGTTCTTTGAAAAATGTTTTTCACATTAAAATCTTAATCAGGTTTCTACACTACCATTACCACCACCACTAATATAATCACTATTACTTTAATTTTAAGGTTGAACAGTTCTTTGTAAAATAGATTTTACTGAAACAAATGGAGTGTATTTGATTTCGGTATACATTTTCTGGGGATTGAATGTAGTGTTAATTGGGTTGAAACTAATATTTATTGGATAGTTTCCTATGTGCTAGTTTTGATTTGAAATTGAATTTATTGCAGGTGGGAAGTAGTAGATCCAAAGAATGGTGTGGAGTATGATCCATTTCCAGTCCCAAAGAAGGGTCTCCCTGCCAAGTTTCTCAAAGACTCCTGATCTTCCCTTCTCTCTTTCTCTCTCCCCCCTTTTTTGTTGGTTTTTTTTTTTTTTTTTCTTCTTAAAACATTTAAAAGCCTCTGACTTGCTTCTAATGCTGTTTTATAATTCAAAATGTGAACAATAAGGAACGATAAGTGTGTTTGGTTTGATTTTTAGATTTTTTTTTTAAATTAAAAAAATACTAAAAATTAATGAAAATAATGAAAGAATGATGAGAAATGACGTCTTGAACTAAATTTTTTCCAATATCTTCATCATTCTTTTTGTCATTGTATTTCTGCGGTAACCAAACAGGGGATAATGATTTTGTATATAATTTTATTTATTTTTTACTTTCTCTAAACAAATTCATAAACCAATACTCCCCTTTCACACCTTATAAGATATACTTGGCAATGGCACAATGACAACAATTTTTTTTAAATGACACGAAACTTCGATTCACAATATGATTTAAAAAAAAATTCTAAAAATAAATTTGAGATGCGCATAAAAACCAATAAAATATAAGTATTGGTTCATCCCGAATGTTTTGTACTAGTAAAAGTCGAACATAAAAACGTGTAAACATATAGAGAGATGATGTGATTCAAAATAGATTAAAAATCAAATTTTAGCTTTTAACTAGGTTCCAAATTGGCCCTAAATCTCTTATGTTCAACACCTTAATTACTACGGGTCATCATGATGCTTTGCTCTTTTAACCGGTCTAAATTCATATTTGAGATGGGCTCACCTGGCTCGAATAAGGCTTGAAGCCCAACTTGGGTGATTGGCCCCATGAGATACATATGATCTTGACAAGAAATTGAAAAAATAAAAAGGCAAAAAAAAAAACTCAAATTAAAAAAGATATGTTGGACTTAACGAATAGGCAAACTTAACATGGCTCAACCTCATGCTAACCTTTATTAACCACCATGCCAACTATTAGAGTTATAGATGTCGATTGATCACTACCATGGAGGTCCCATGTTATCATTTTTGTCTCATCTATTAATACTAGATCTCAAGGTATTAAAAAGGTCATGAATTCAACTTCTATTTTTACTATTAGCCTCCCTCACTATTTGGTGGATCACAATGGAAAATTTGGTGTCTAATTGATTGAGTATATCTATCCTTTCATTTATATATCTATCCATTGTATTTTTATATTTGAATTGGTGTAAATTGTCACTTCTTTTAAAAATAATAATAATAATTTCAGGTAATTGCCTATTTTTTCTTGGCTCATATAACTGCTCAAATTAAATTTAAATCTTATACATTTTATAATTTTAATAATACACTCATCGAATGTGTGTATACTACAAAAGCCTTGTTTGATAGAGCTGTGGGAAAGTGATTGTAAATTATAGCTTATAATTGTGAACATAAGCTGGTAACCTGTATGGTGCAGCTGTGTGATTATAGATTTAAGCAGCAGAGTAATGTTTGGTAAATAAGTTGTAAAATAACTTTTTACTGTGTAATTAACATTTTTGTCCTTATGAACATAAAAATTATAATTTTGTCATTTTCTTCACTTTAAATTTCGAAAAAGTTGCTGAGTCTGTTTACAGATCGACGAGTCTGTTTACAGATCTTCTCTCTCTTTCTCACGACACGAAGCTCTCTCTCATCGCCAAAAATGGCGACCAGAACACTGAGTGAGGGACTGTGAGAGTGAGAGAAGACCGAGAGTTGAGAGAGTGAGAGAGAAGAACGAGAGTGAGAGTGAGACCGAGTGAGAGAGAGAGAGAGAGAGGAACGAGAGTGACTCACTGATATATTATATATATACATATAAAGGGTATAACAGTAATTTCACTTCGGGGAAATTCGGGGATGGGGCCGGGGACGGGGGCGGGGCCGGGGATCGGGCCGGGCCGGGGATCAAACACTGATCACCGTCCCCGGCCCGTGACAGATCGGGGATTGATTTCCAAATACCGTCACCTCCCCGTCGGGGGTATTTTTCGGGGAAAAACCGCTTAAATCGGGGTCGGGATCGGGGATCCCCGTCGGGCCGGTTTCAAATTGCCATCCCTAAGTGAGACCCACTAATATTGTATTTATTTTGAAAGATAGAAAGGGAATTGATAGTAAGCTCCGAATTAGGATAGGCCTCCCCAAGGGGATTCGGATGGGCTTCCATGACTTGGTATTAGAAAATAGTCCGGCGGACTAGAAATTTTTTATTTTTATTTATTTTTTACATGTCGGACATTTTTTTTTGAACATTAATGTTTAATTTTATATATTTTTTGTTAAGTAAAAATCATTATTTTATTTGTTTTATTTTTTTCTGAAAATTTTTTATTTTATTTTTATTTTTTAAAATTTTTTTACATGTTGGGCATTTTTTTTTAAAACATTAATGTTTAATGTTTTTTCAGTTTTTTATTTGTTTTATTATTTTATATAAAAATAATTTAACAATCTCTACACTAACAACTATTATCAAAACAAACACAATTTTACTTAATCCCCTTACTATCAATCCCCTCACTAACAATTCCCTCATTATTAATCCCCTCCATTCTACCTCTGAAAACAAACGGGACTTTAAAGTTATAGATGTTGATTGATCACTACCATGGAAGTCCCATGTTATCATTTTTGTCTCATCTATTAATACTAGATCTCAAGGTATTAAAAAGGTCATGAATTCGACTTCTATTAGTCTCCCTCACCATTTGGCGGATCACAAAGGAAAATTTAGTGTCTAATTGATTGAGTATATCTATCATTTTATCTATATATCTATCTATTGTATTTTATATTTGAATTGGTGTAAATTGTCACTTCTTTTAAAAATAATAATAATAATTTTAGGTAATTGCCTATTTTTTCTTGGCTCGTATAACTGCTCAAATTGAATTTAAATCTTATACATTTTATAATTTTAATAATACACTCATCGAATGTGTGTACACTATAAACTATGGTTTTGTTTAGAATGTGGATTTACTTTTTGACTTCTGACTTTTTGACTGTTTTACCCTAGGGCTAAAAAGTCTTGTTTGGAATGAACTTTTTTTATTTTTGTGAGACAAAAAACAAAATGATTATATTTTGGATATGACATTTTATCTTATTAATTTTTTAGTTTATTTTATCTTTTTGTGACTATTTTAACCTTTTAACCCGAAAGTTCTTTATGCCAAACAAGGGCTATATGTCTTTCAACCTCTAGTACCAAATATTCCGAAGAAATTCTATTTTCACATGCCATTTTATTTCTGTGTACATCATATCTCAATACACACTTAGAAATTTAGTTATATGTAATTATTCTCTTTTCACACGTTACATATTTCAATTATAACTTGTACACATACCACTTAAATAGATTTTCTACAATTTCAAACCCCTCAGAGACTCAACTTTTCCACACACCCACTCATGGCAACAAACCACAACTCCATTGACGAGCCTTTCAATAAACAAGAGCTATTTTTAATCAAATCACATAACAGATTGATATATCTACTTGTTAAACAAATCTACCATGTACTCTATTTCCTTCTCTACCAATCCAAAGATCTACACAAAATCATCAAAAAATAATCTTTTCCGGTTAATAGTTTTGCCTATCTCATAAGCATACATATATAGTGTTTGTATATGTATGAAGTACCTGTTCTTTTTCTAGGACAGAGGGGTTGTTGTTCGCAGGCAGCCATTGAAACCTGAAGGAACTGAAAGATCCATAAAAAAAAAATATTAAAAAACGAGAAGTCACTCACCAATTAGAAAAAATATTCTGAAATTATTGTACATTTTTTATTTTGTACTTCCGAATTATTTATAAATTTTTGAGACTTAATTTTTGAATTTTTAAATTAATTTAGTTCTGTAGTTCCGAATGTTTTACAATTTTTCAATACTTAGATATCAGAGTAGTTTATGAAAGCAATGGATAGAGTGTAATAATTAGGGGTGCAACTCGGGCGGGCTCAACCCGAGCAACCCGTGCCCAGCTCAAGTTTTTTTAGGGCTTGGGCAACAATGTCTTGTAATTTGGACAGGCCTGGACAGATTTTTAATGCCCGAATTATAATTTGGGTCGGTCCTGGGCAGAATCAGTGGCTAACCTAAGCAACCCGATCCCGAATTGTATTTAATATATTATATAAATTATATAATATATGTATAAATTAAATTAAATAGATGTCTTTAATTATTTATTTATTTTTTGGCTGGTCTTTCACTCTTGGATTAGCATCTTTTATTTGGACCATTAGATTAAATTTAAAAAGAAAACCCTACCTTATGTATGGAATAATGAAGCACTGTTTGTTATATGGAATAATAAACCATTGTTTGTTAATTAATTGCAATTGAAGAAACTTTCAAATCTGTTGAATTTCGTGGCTGGTCTACCATTTCTAGCATTTATATGTACCAGTGTTTTATATGTACCTGTTTTTTATGCACCAGATGTGAATGGACTTGTGTATATATATATAATGAAGCATTCAGAAGTTGTTTGTGAATTTCGGGCAATCCGGGCTAACCTGAGTTCAAATTATAAATCTTGGTCCAGGCTTGGGCAACCATGCTCGGGTTGATGGTCGGGCTTGAATGAGCTTGGGCACTGCCAAACGAGTCCAGATTCTCTCCAGTCTCTCTCTCCAGTAGTTCCTCCGGCCAAAGGCTCAGATAAAGCCACGCCACTTACAAGAAAATATACGGCTCAAATTTCTTTCTTTAAACAAAAGAAAATATACACCCACTTACACACACTCACAGCACACACTCTCTCTCTGGCCCTTTCTCATTGACACACACACACTCGGCACATACTCACTCACACATACACACACACACTCTCTCTCTCTCTCTCTCTCTATATATATATAACGGTTCAGATCAACTAAAAAAAAATATATAAAAAAAATTGAATGGTTCTATTCTGTCCCACGTCAACTCACACACACACACTTACTCTCACTCACTCACTCTCTCTCTCTTTCTCTCTTCTAATAAAAAATTAAAAAAAACTATTT